TGTTTTTTGTTTTAATAATCATTCACAATTTGTAATTAATTAATAGATCAGGGTACCCGTATACATAATTTAATAGTTTATAGTTTATTACTTTTAAATAATAAAAAAGTAAATAATATATGTATTTTTATTCTATAGGATTCAGTTGCATTTTCAACCTTACAACTTGAACAAGTTAACAGTGTTGAGGTAATTTCTCTTTGTAATTTAATAAACTATATTTTATATTGTTTCTTCTAACTTCGTAAATATTAGTCACTAAAGAATTATGTACATTTTTTTTTAAGGAATTATCTTCTAGGGTGAGGCCACCACACCAATAAAAGAACAACCCCAATAAGATGCTAAAATTGAGATAATTGAATCTGGATCTTCCAACCACAGCGTTAAGCGTAGACCGGATGATTTCATCAAATGTGGAGGAGAATGCCAAATCCATTGTGAAGTTAGAGAAACCTTGAAATTGCATAAGTTTTGGGTTTAATTGGTGGGCTATTTATGATTTTTTTATGACAAATTTTAATGTTGAATAATGTTTGGGTTTAGATTTGTGTTTTATACACAATGATTTATTCTATTGTTAAATGTTGCATTAAGTTTTTTTATTCCAATATATTATATTTTAGTATAAGATTTATTAATTATTATACATTGATAATCAGTTCAATTAATAACCTTATTTTAAACTATAAATCAATTAGCTATGTAGAACAAAGCAAGCACTATCGAACATAATAAACAAAAATATACAACATACCTATTCCACATATTGACTGGTTGCAGATTATAAGAATACATGAAATGAGGACAATTTCCTTGCGTATATAATTGTGCTTCCATCCCTGCACAATTAACATATGAAAATCAAGAAAACACAAGATAAAATAAAAATGAAAACTATCTACATGCACAAGATACTGACCAGTAGAGTTGTTAACAATTAATAACACAAGATAACAAAAATCAAAACACTTTGCAATTTGCAGTATGTTGGTCCCGATAGGGTGGTAAAAGTCTAGAGAGGGGGGGGGGGGGGGTGAATAGACTTTTTAAACTTTTTCACAATAAATAACACTTTGGTAATTTCAACTCTAAATAACAAGATATGTAATTTAGATGTGCAGCGGAATAATATATCAACCAAGTGTTACGTAAAATCAAAGAGATATATCACATGCAATATTATAAATATGCTGGTAATGGCTCAAATAATAAGTATGCAAATTTATGCCCACATGCATTCGTGAAAGCTACTAGACCCAGATGAATAAATTTTGTACAGTATAAGATGGGTCAGTCAAATATTCAACATGCAAGACAACAAATGAATATTTAAAGAGATGGTTCACTCAATATATATATATGATATCACGTGTGAATCAATGAATGAGTCCAAATGGAATTGTGTCTGCATGTACTTGTAAAGTCACATAACTCAATCAATAAGACAAATAAATAAGATGAATAGTTAATGGGTTAGTATGCATGCAATGATAAATAAGAGCAGTATGTAAATGAGAGAGGCGATTTATAGTGGTTCAGATGTGGTGTAATCCTCCTAGTCCACTCTTCTCCTTTCACTCTAAGGAGGAAATTCACTATCTCGTTCACCCAGATACAAATAGTGAATCAAGTGCTACACAAGCACTTCCCGAGTGTTTTGCACACAGCTACACTCAATCCCGAGTATCTCACACAAAGCTATACTCCCGAGTATCTCGCACATAGCTATACTCCTACAACAACTAAGTGTCTTGCACCCAGCTACACTCAGCACCACGTACCAAATGTCTCGCACACAGCTACACTCAACAACCACGAGTGTCTCGCACAAAGCTACACTCAACAGGGTAGTGTCTTGCACAAAGCTACACTCAACCCTCTTTCTACACACGGTAGAGAAAAGAAATATAGAAAACAAATTTCTCTTCTAATGACTTGAAGAATATCTCGTGAAAGCTCAGACTAGATATTTTTGAATTTTTGCTCTTTGTGTTTTGCCTCTTTGCTCTTTTTCCTTGTATGTATTTTCCCCCGTCCTCTCTTTTTCACTTTTTACTTCTGCTTGTATCTTCAAGTCTTCTTGGTATATATAGCTGAAGAAGCTATATTACCATTGTAGCATCAGTTGATGATCTTGATCGTTCATCTTGATCAGCTACACATTATTGCCAACTTGCATTGCGGTGATTTAATGCAAGAGATGGACTTCTTACAGTGAGTTTAAAAATCCTCACCTAACAAGACTTCAAAAGTTGTATATGTCGGCTCATCAGCTGAATCTTCTCCGAAAAATAATTTCTTTATCTTGACGGATTCAAAATGATGAAATCTTCTAAAAGATTTGCTGCTGATTCTTGCTTGAGTGAAATAATGTATCTCCGAAATTTTCTTCTGCTGAGAATGATTTGAGATACATGGCAAAGTATTTAAATGAGAAAGAAAATGTGTAGAAGAATTCACGTGCACCTTCCTTATCATGTCCACAAGCTTCCAAACTTGTAGTCAACTTAGCAAGACATGTGTCCACATTTTAGCATGCACTCAACAAGTGTCATCTTTTAAAAAATATGCTTCCAATGAGATTCAAACACGAGCCTAACAAAATCTATCTCCCACACTTTTACCACTACGCCATATTAACTCATTAATTAATATTTCTGGATTTAATCTTTATTCCCAGAATGACTTTAGTAGCATTTTTGATTGATTAATAAATCTCTTCGAGTCTGCTTCTTGGTCTTCCCCCCTCCGTCGTCCCCTTCATACCTTAGCTTTGTCTCCTTCTAAAAAATGTAAAGATTGAGTTTCAAACTTGTGATCTTTAACTTTAGCAATCTTGTTCCTTATCCACTTCACCACTTGTTCCTTTGGTGTTTTTCAAGGTAAATAATTCTCAAATAGTAACATTCTGGATAAGTATATTTTGCTAAGAAATTCGTAGGTCTTATGGCTTGACTTGGGACTTAGACTAATAGACAACTAGACTCAAAATAAAATAGGGGAGTTCTAAAAATACAAATTTGGCCCATCAAAACTATTACATTTTATTCCTAACACAGTATTTATGTAACAATTAACTCATTTCATCACAGTGCAATTATAAATTTCTGCGAACACCACGATGTAAAATAAAATCAAATATTATTCAAAATCATTCCAAATATGACTAGTATTGAATATTTTATATGAACCAAATTGATAAAATAATTATAAATTATTTAAATTTATCTTGATGTAAAATAAAATCAAATATTTATTGAAAATCATTTCAAATATGAGATACCTAAATTTATATCATTTTTAAAAGCAAAATTATTCCAAATATGAGATAACCTTATCATTGCGGATTGGATCCAATTTAACAAATTTAATATAATAATAATTAATTAATTTCATAACTTCAATTCTGCTAAAGCATTTTAAAATTCTTAAATTCTTAACGAAATTGGTGTATTTATGTAACAATTAACTCATTTAATCAACTGTGCAATTATAAATTTCTGCGAACACCACGATGTAAAATAAAATCAAATATTATTCAAAATTATTTCAAATATGACCAATATTGAATATATGAACCAAATCGATAAAATAATTATAAATTATTTGAATTTATCTTGTTGTAAAATAAAATCAAATATTTATTAAAAATCATTCCAAATATGAGATAACTAAATTTATATCATTTTTAAAAGTAAAATCATTCCAAATACAAGATAACCTTATCATTGCGGATTGGATCCAATTTACCAAATTTAATATTATAAGAAATTAATTAATTTCATCAAATACCATGACTATGTGGTCTAATGGTACCCGGGTTGGACTCCATTTGGAAGATTATGAGCTCGAGCCTCAGTGGAGGCGTGTAAAATCATTTTAAAATTCTTAACGGAATTGCAGTATTTATGTAACAATTAATTTATTTCATCAACAATGCAATTATAAATTTCTGCGAACACCACAATGTAAAATAAAATCAAATATTATTCAAAATCGTTCCTAATATGGCCAATATTGAATATTTTATATGAACCAAATTGGTAAAATAATTATAAATTATTTGAATTTATCTTGATGTAAAATAAAATCAAATATTTATTGAAATTCATTACAAATATGAGATAACAAAATTGATATCATTTTTAAAAGCAAAATCATTCCAAATATGAGATAACCTTATCATTGCAGATTGGATCCAATTTACCAAATTTAATATTATAATAATTAATTTCCTCAAATTTCATAACTTCAATTTTGCTAAATCATTTTAAAATTCTTAACGGAATTGCAGTATTTATGTAACAATTAACTCAGGTACCCGGGTTGGACTTTCATTTGAAAGATTATGAGTTCGAGCCTCAGTGGAAGCATTATTGGTTCTTTGTGTTTCAGTAGGTTGAGAAAGTATATGAACAGATACTACAATGTAATAGAGCCAGTAATATTCAAAAAAAAAAAAAAAACTCATTTCGTCACTAGTGCAATTAAAAATTTCTGCGAACACCATGATGTAAAATAAAATTAAATATTATTCAAAATCATTCCAAATATGATCAATATTGAATATTTTATATGAACCAAATCGGTAAAATGATTATTGTTCAAAAAAAAAAATCGGTAAAATAATTATAAATTATTAAAATTTATCTTGATGTAAAATAAAATCAAATATGATCTCCAACAACTCAAGTACAAATGTTATATCAACAACCAATGTGGTATATCACGAAATCTTCAATAATTTGTAATTTTGTGACACTTATTTTTGTATATTGTATGTTAAAGTGATTTCATTATTGTTGCTATTTTGCATTTACATTTTTTTTAAAGATCAACTTTGTAATTTGTAAATTTTAACATAGTAATCTCTTAAATTTTTCACACAAATAAACAATATCTTGAATAATATCCTTCCCGTGCATCGCACGGATACTATACTTAGTTTTCAATTATAACAAAAGCCACTGCCACTTGTAAGTCTGCCCTCGTCTCTCACTCTCTCATTCATTAAAACAAAAGCCGCTCTCGCCTCCCCTGCCCTCGCCATTCGCCGCCTCCTCGCCGAACGACTAGTGACCAAGACGACAGTCCGGCATCTCATCGTCTGACTCTCTCGACCGCCGTCCGACATCTCTCCCTCCGTCGTCAGTCGTCTCTCGTCTGGAGTGCTCGACGGCCGCGGCCTTGCCCTGGTCTCTCGTCTCTCACCGCCGTCTACTCTCCCTCCGTCGTCCGAAGGTAAATTTGTAGTTCTGTACATATTAAAATTAAAAAGAATTTCAATTATTATATATGCTATATGGAGCTCTAAATCTCTAATTGATGTTTAGTGTTTGACTGTTTTACTGTAAACTGTTTCGTGTTTAGTGTAAACTGACTATCTCGAATATATGGACTGTAAACTGTTCAGTTTTTAGTGTAAACAAACGGGACGGGTCACCACCGTTGCTGCTTCATACGCCTCTTCCACCGTTCTTCGTCAGTTTGTGCTCCACTATTCCAGGTTTGTTTTAAGTTTTAATCAAAGTTTAGGGTTTGGTTTACTAGGTTGTAATTTTAGAATGGCCGAATGTGTGTGTGTGTGTGTGTTTTTTTTTTTTTTTTTTTTTTTTTTTTTTTTTTTTTTTGGTGCAGATTACTTGATTAGGTGATAATTTTGATTACTGAAAGGTGGAAAATGTAGGTGATAATTTTGATCAAAATGTATTTGAGTTTACAGGTGATATAGGTGATAATTTTGATAAAAAAAAAAAGTATATATGTAAAATGACATTAGTATATGTTGATGTTGATTGGCCATAGATTACAGGTGAATATGTTTGCAATTTGGAGGTTAAAGAATATGGCTATATTGATTGTGTGGATGAGGCAGGCTTGTAAATTTAGTCAACTAAGGATGTTACTAATTGATTGGTGACTTGAACAGAGGATAACAGTAAAGCCATGGTTTTCATTTCTGAAGTGTGGTGGGCAGTTTTGTTGTTGTTGTTTACCTTTGAGGTCATTTTACATACAATCACTAAAAGTAAAAAGCTAATTTACCAAATGCTTTTCTATAACCCGCGAATACAATGAGCTGGTCAAACCAGCTAACAGCTAATTGAATCAGCTATCAGCATTGCCAAACACCCCTAATTTCCAACATATTTTTCATTACTACGTTCAAGTGGTTGGATTTGATGCATTTTCTATAGGCTTGAATGAGTATGGGACTGTAAATGATGCCTTAGAATACAGGAACGAGTTTGGGGACAAGGATTTTTCCCTAGTTTCTTTCGGCATTTTTCATTGTTTTCCTGACTAGGATGATTGTTATTTTATCTTATTTCTCTTTCTCATTTTTTTAACCCATATTTATTTTTTGAAATTTGCCTCACATATCAAATCTGTGAAATGGTCTTACACAAATATTTTCCTTGGGCTTTGTAGGGTGCAGCTGCCACTCATATCTCATCTCACAATCAGCCCCTAATTTCTCCGTTTCGAATCGTCATCCCCAACGAAGTCTGTCACCAAAGTACAAGCTATTCAATTTCAATCATAATCGCATCAATCTTCACCTCAAGTTCTTGTACTGATTCAACCCTCAGTTTCTAACTGAAAAAGAAAAGAAAAAAATCCCCAGTACTCTAATCCTTGATAAGCAAATGGAAGCTAAAGAGCCAATTATCATCTCGGGGAAAGAGGAGATGAGAAAATGGTCAAGGTCCGTGAGAGCCCAAGGCAAGTCCATAGGCTTTGTACCCACCATGGGCTATCTCCACGAAGGCCATCTTTCCCTCATCAGAGAATCCCAGAAACATGCGGAAGTCATAGTGGTTTCCATCTATTTGAACCCCGGTCAATTCTCTCCCAATGAGGACCTCTCCACATATCCTTGTGATTTTCTTGGGGATATTCAAAAGCTCAAGTCAATCCCTGGCGGCATTGATGTTGTGTTCCACCCCCATAACCTGTATGATTATGGAGACGGTGATGGATCTAAGAGGAATGAAGAAGAAATGGGTAAAAGAGAAGGAAAAGTGGTGTCTTGTGTGGAAGCTGGGGGAGCAGGGCATCAGACGTGGGTCAGAGTTGAAGGATTGGATAAAGGGTTGTGTGGGAAAAACAGGCCGATTTTCTTCCGAGGGGTTGCAACTGTTGTCACCAAATTGTTCAACATTGTTGAGCCTGATGTTGCTGTCTTTGGTAAGAAGGATTATCAGCAATGGAGGATTCTTGAGAGAATGGTGAGTTCTTTCTAAAATTAACTACTTTGTTAATTGTAATGCGGTTAAAGCAGGTTAAATTATTTCAGTTTTTTTGTTATGCACCTTCCTGATTATGTTTGAATCTATTTTAATCTAGAGACTAACATGTTTATTTACTGGTTCTTTCATTTCAGTTTGTTATTGGCAAGTTAGTACTTATAAAGAAACCTGCTTCTTTTGGTGTCTTTATTTAACTTCTTCAGGTGCGAGATCTTGATTTTGGAATTAAGGTGATTGGCGCTGAGGTTATGCGAGAAGATGATGGCATTGCGATGAGTTCTCGAAATGTGCGGCTCTCTCCAGATGAGAGGAAACAGGTTCTTTCATTTCTTCTTCTATTTAAACTGTTTTCTTGTGAACCGGAATGGTGTTCTTGCTGTTCAATGGTTTCTGTCTATGAATAAATAAAGTTATTTTGTTAAAGGAAATTTGGTTCAAATCCATGGTTATTACTTACTTACAATTGTTTATCTAGTCGCATTTACTTAAGTTCCAATATCCACCTTTCTGTTGTAGTTTTCAACTCCAAAAAAAACCACCAACCTCTCTGCAGTTATATATATATAGAGTTAATGAACGATTTGGTCCCTCAATTATTAGCGAACTGTTAATGACTCAATGTAGTCCCTCAATCCCTTATTCATCGATTTGGTCCGCTTTTTAGTCGATTTAGTCCCTCCGACCGTCGATTTGGTCCCCGAAAACAATTATTTTTAGTCGATTTAGTCCCTCCGGCCATCAACGGAAGACAGCCTGAGGGACTAAATCGACTAAAAATAATTGTTTTCGGGGACCAAATCGATGAATAAGCTTGAGGGGCTATATTGACAGTTCGCTAATAATTGAGGGGCCAAATTGTTCATTAACTCTATATATATATATATATATATTCATTTACTTGTGATAAAAAATTTTGTTCTGTTCTGTTTCTGCAGGCTGTGTCTATAAGTAGAGCACTTTCAGAAGCCAAGGTAGCAGCAGAGAAGGGTCAGGTGAATTGCTGCAAGGACTTGAGAAATTCAGTCAGTAAAATTATAGAAGAGGCGGGTGGAAGGATTGATTATGCGGAGGTGAGAGATCAAAATCCATCTTCTTAACTCTGTTTTCTCTTCTGTCTGTCTGATTGGCACTAAAATCCATTCTGTGATGTTATATGAGTTAGTTAAAATTGAATAAATTCTCTTGGTGAACATTTCATAATGATACACGTTCGATTGGATCATCTATTTATTGAACTAATGCTATTCTTTTTGTTGTAGATTGTAGACCAAGAAAGTTTAGAGACAGCTGAAGTGATTGAAAGGCATGTGGTATTTTGCGTGGCTGCATGGTTCGGAAAGGTCAGATTGATTGACAATATGGAAATTAATATTAATGCCTGATAGTGATGGATGATCAAGTTGGCATTAGGGCCTTAGAGGTTGTGGTGGATCAAACAAGGTTTGCCCCCTCTCTCCCATCTTTCCTTTTTACATTCTGAGTTGCAATATAAAAATAAAACTTTAATAGATAATGGCATTAGGGCCTTGTAACCTTTACTATAATATATAATACATTCAAAGAATTCAGCAGTACAAGCTATACAGCCACTGTATGAGACTACAGATGAGTGAAATGTAGAGCAAAAAAGGTAGAAATATATCTAGACAAATCACAGCATCGGAATGGAATGGATTGGATTGGAATAATAAAGCATATTGCTTTCCAGTTATTATCCTAATCAAACGAACAAATGAAAGGCCACAGGCACTAGCAGTTGAAGCCTCCACAGATTGACAAAACAATGATGAGAATCAAAGCGATGATAATTCCCAGGACAATCAGCTTTATCTTCATATTCTGCCACCACATCTTCCTCCTTATCTGAGTTCCGTGTGTCCTGAAATCTTGTGCCTGCAAAACATGATTCAATACAATCAGTTAATACCTAATTTAGTCGTGATCTTTCTCAATTTAGTCTTTATTTAAAAAAAAAAAAAAAAAAAAGACTAATGCATCAATTTAGTCTTAAATGACTTTTTTTGTGCTTAATTAGGTCCTTGACTTTAATAGTTTTATCCAATTGAATTTTCGGCTATCAGAATCAATGACCAAATTGAGAAAAATCACTATAGTTGAGGACTAAATTAGATAAATTACTATAGTCGAGAATTAAATTGGATAATATTACTATAATCGAAAATTAAATTGGGTAAAATCATTATAGTTTATAGTCGATGATTAAATTGGATAAAATCAATAGTTAAAGACTAATTGGGTAAAATTAGTATAGTCGAGAACCTAAATTGGATATTAATAGAGGTGAAATTACCAAACTATCTTATAGAAGATTCAACTGAGTAAAACCATCAGAGTCAAAGAACTAAATTGAGTATTAACTTATTCCTCCAAACACGTCAACTACTTGCCATTGCACAGAACCTCCTCCCTCTCCATATTTCTTTTTATACGGAGTAATTATTAGTAATAAAATGTTGCTAGAGACTAGAAATTCTTCATTCTAAATGGAACTAAATCAAATAAAAGATGAATATACCCAATTCCACACACTGACCTGTGAGCGAAGGTTTTCAGTTTTATCGACCAGAATCTCAATCTTCTCCCCACGATCAAGAACCTGCAACATGAATATTTGATCACCAAATTGCAAGGATGTCTTAATTTATTTTCTAAAAATATTGACATATCTTTAGTGTCAAATAATTGTTGACAAACCTTCTCGATGTTTTCCATCATTACTCCTTTGACTTCTGAAACCTGAGCTTTCACCTTTGCCATCTTACTGATCTCCTCTGGATGATCCACACAGTATTGCATTTGGTCCTTCATCTTCGGCCTATAAACAACAATGCATATCGTATTGGTTTTAGGATACCCTCTCAAACCTCAGAAAACAAATGCAGAGGAAAAGTTATGCTGTAATAACTAATTATGGATATAACTCATATAAATTACCCAAACTCTCTGTTTAAGCTGTTGGCAACAGCTGTAGCAGCTTTTCCTCCTCCATATTTCTTGGTAAATTCCTCCTTAATCCGCTCAAGAAATGCTACTGGAAGCTGTCTGCCAACAGATTCTACAGCAACAACACAATATGCTGTTCCATGGAAGCATAATTACTTAGTTAGACAAAGAGAACATAGAAAAGAAGCCATACGATATAGTATTCAACTAATTTGATAGGTACTCATCATAATTATTAGGAGGTTCATGTAACAAGGTTTTTCGGGGTTTTCTTTATGTATGAGGTGTGGGGCTTATATAAGTAATATAACATATTAAATTATAATTGACTCTGGTTAGTAGTTAGTACTTCCTTCATTTGGAACAGCAGATCAAAATAAAGATGTTGGACTGTTTATAAATTATAGAGGCTAAAGAACCTTATCAGCAATCAATTTAAACAGCTCAGCTTCTCAGAAATTCTTGCTAGAAATCATTCAGTAGTGACCAACTAGCATGTCCAAAAGGAATGAGAAAGTAACAAATCAACTTTTCTTTTTCTCTAAATAGCATATCATAATGACCCATTGGTTATGCTGAATTCCTTCAATTACCAAATCACAAAATATGCTGGCAATAGATATTGCTTACAAACAGTTTCCATGACACAGTGTTAATAGGTTATATGCAAATTATTTAGACAAGCAAACATGAGAAGAACTAAGCTGATGCTAAAACCTCCAAATTTTCATAGCAGATTATCAGAAGCCACGGGTCTCTTTAATGAAGCGGCAAATATCTTAAAATAGAAATTCCATTATAGTTGGGTTCAATAACATTTGTAAAAACTACTCAACTTTCAATGATAAAACAATAAATAACTCCATGCTTAATCCAGAAAGAAGAACAAGCAGTGGCAGAGCTCCTTTTTTTTTTTTTTTTTTTTTTTTTTGGGGTAATATTATGTATATATGTGTGTTTATAGTTATTATATGTATTAATATTAATGTGTGTAAATACACCCTTGCCCCCTCCAATACTTTTCGAAAGAAAAATTATTATTAATACAATCTAATATTATGTTTAAAAAATTACAATCAAACTAATATTGTATTCAATTGAATAAATTTAAAATCACAGATTAAATTAAAATTTGAAATTACTTTGAATAAATTAATAAATGTATTATTGTATTATTGAGTTCAAGCCTCAGTGGAGGCGTTATTGGTTCTTTGTGTTTCAGTAGGTTGAGAAAGTATATGAACAAATACTACAATGTAATAGAGCCAGTAACTTTCAAAAAAGTAATGCTCTCTTTTTAAAAAGAATTAAAATTTCGATAGATTATTGATTTGATCAATTACAATTATTCCTTACTACCTATTTTAAAGTCCTATTTTGTATTTCAATTGGTTGCTCAATTTAACTTTTTTTTTTATATACTGATTTTATCAAACAATTTCTTGTAATTTTCAATTTTGACTATTTAATTTGAGTTTAATACATATGTTAATATAAATTTTAAATACATATATCTTACTTAATGACATAAATTAAATATTACAAAAAAATAATTTTTAAATAATTTGAACTGAGCGTTATTATATGTGTAGTACATATAAAATGGAGTACAAAATATCCAAAATACATTTTCATATTTTTTGGTTAATTGTCTAAAAAAATTCTTTTTATTGTTGTACCGAGAATTAAATAATTATAATTATATATATTTTTCTTCAATTATAATCACAATTTTGATCTACAACAAAATTATCTTGCCCCCTAATGAACTTCCTGGCTCTGCCACCGAGAATCAGGTATCAAACAAACTACCACAGCCACACTCCGGAGTGAATTGACTATAGGTCCAGCTCCCTTGTCTTTGTGTCAATTCCAAATTTAACCCTAAATTATTGTTTTTGCCATTTAACATTTTAGACTATTATTTTTTTGACACCCTTAGTCCTTCTTATGATTTTTTTTTTTTTTAGTAAGGGCATTTTTGTTTTTTTTTTTCATATTTTTCTTTTGTTATTTTTTCAGTTTCAACCAGTTTAGAACTTTAAGTAACTCTTGATTTGTACTACCATATTTTTCAATGAATTTTAGTAAAGTCCTAAACCAATTAAACCGAAAAATAACAAAAGAAAAATATGAAGACAAAAAAATACCCTTACAAAAAATAAGAAAAGTCATAAGAAGATTAAAAGTGTTCAAAAAATAATAGTGTAAAAACAATAATTTAGGACTAAATTTAGAATTGTCATAAAAAATAAGGGACCTGAAATTAACTTGAGTGAATTAGTTTCAAACTTAAATGCTATGGAGTACATTTTAAATTAATTCCTGAATTTTGGCATTTAAAATGAGATCTAACCTCTAGTCCTCAAATCTCATCTCCGTTGAATGAATTAATTTTCAGACTTTGAGCTATAGTTTTGCATGAGCACCTAAATTTCCGGATTTAAAATGAGATCTAGACTCCAGTCCATAAATCCCAATAACATTTACCAAAACCAAATCAAACAAACACATAAAAACAGATATAGTTTATGCGTCTACTAAACTACGGATTAAAAGGCTTAAACCTCGGTCACCGAGCTTTCACTGAAATAGCCATCAAACCAGACAAAGTTCAGATAGGGAACTGATCCGAACGGAAAAATGGAAGGGATAATAGATCAGAACAGATTAAAGGAAGAAACGATTAATGACTTACTGAAGCCGTCCTCGACGAGGAAGTTGAAGGTGTGGCCGTCGCAGTTGTAGGTGAACTTGTTGTTTGTAGCGGGAAGTTTCTGGAGGCACTGTGAAGCTATGCCGGTGAAGTTTCCGGTGAACTCGGTGTACTCGGAGAGGATCACCGTGCCTCTCGCTACGAAGCTGTAGATCAACGATTGCTGCCCCATTTCCGGCTGGCTTTTCTATCCCTACCAAAACCCTAGTTGACGGAACTCTAGAGAGAGAAGTGTAGATAGGAAAAGGAAGAATGCAGGTGTTGAATGTCCAGAGAGAGAGAGAGAGAGAGAGAGAGAGAGAGAGAACAGAAAAGGAGGCGTGATGATGACTGAGAATTTGATTTTGTTGCACGGAGTCGGAGAGAGAAGGGGAGTCGACTTTCTTTCGGGTTGGTTCAATTATTTATAATTTAATTTTTTATAATATTAAGTTTAAAATTGATATATAAAATTTGTATATTTAAAATTATACTAAATTTACTATTAAATACAAAAAGTCAATTTTAAGAATTATAAAAAATATTAATAAAAATAAATAAAGAAAACAAAATTAGGGTGTGTTTGGTTCGCACATGTGAATCGGAATCGGAATGAAAATTAAATATTTGGTAATAGTAATGTGTTTTGGTAAAAGTATTTTGCATGTTTGGTAGTAGGGTAAAATTGGAATGATAACCAATATTGATGTCGGGTTATGTATGATCTATAATGAGAATAAAGGTTTTAAAAATACAAGAACAAAAAATCAAGACAATTTATTCTAATATAAAGACATCCAAGACACCAATATGAACAAAGAACAAAAACAAAAAAAAAATACGGGGACAATTAAATCACATAGTAGTGTTTTAGAAACATGTCAACCAAACAATAACAATAACTTTGATTCACATTCTTGAT